TTCCAAGCAAAATAAGTGGCCATGAAATGATGCAAGTACACCAGATAGTTGAAGAAGAAAAAAGGGGATTGGACAAATATAGGAGGATAATGAAGAAGATGCACTGAAGCTAGTCTACCAGGAAGATTTACCGAGTACTAGAGAGACCAAACTGACCTAAAGGCCAAATGGAGAGTAAAATGATATGGCAAAGTAAAGTATTACATGACCACTACATTAAAAAAGCAATAATAACAAGACCTAGCAATGACGAACAGTGGGAAAATTGAAGAAAGAAATAGATGGCTAATTCTGGCTATACAAGATACAAGCCTTAAGAACTGAAAGCCTGAATAGAGTAGACAGTAACAGACAACAAGTGCTGCCTGTCCAAAGAAGCAGGAGAAACAGTGGACCACCTTGTTAGTTGCTGCAAGAAGATCACACAGACGGACTACAAGCAATGGCACGACAAATGGTGCATTGGAAGATCTACAAGAAATACCATTTAACTGCAAGAAAGATTGATGGAGCCAGAAAATAGACAGATTAATAAAAAACGAGGAAGCTGAAGTGTTCTGGGACTTTAGAATTCACACAGGCAAACGCCTGTCACACAACAGACTTAACAATTGTTAATAACAAAGACAAAAAAGTCTGGATAGTGAACGTGATAATACCTGGAGTCAGTGGAATAGAAGAGAAAGAACATGAGGAAATTACATAATACAAAGATCTGCAGGTAGAAGAAGAATGACTGTGGAAAAAGGAAACAAAGATAATACCAATAGTAATAGGCCCCTTGGGTGAAATACTAAAAACATCTGGAGCACTACTTGAACACCATTGGCATTGACAAAATCTCCACCAATCAATTGCAAAAGATAGCTTTACCTGTAACAGCTTACATCCTGCAGCGATCCTTTTAACACCATCAAACAACATCTGCCTATGCCAGGTCCTTGGGCAGGACTTTCAGAGGTGGATAAAAATGCCAAATCCAGTTTAAACATCTGGCTGACTGTGTGACCAACCACAATCAATTCCCTTATTAATGAAGGCCTTTTAATAAAAGTCCTGGATGAAACATACTTGGGTTTAGAGAAGAGTTCATCTTCTTTAAATTCACTTATGTAGGGTATTTATGAATATGGAATCAATTAGTTAAAACATCTCTTTGAATTTTATGTTGTAGATCGAAGTGTCAAACGCAAGGCCCATGGATCGAATCTGGCCTGCAGGGTGCTTAGATCTGGCCCACAGGGCCGCCCTGGAAACAGCAATGGCCAGGCCTGCAGTGCCTCGCTGGCAGAGGGCTGCAGGTGGCAGTCGCAGCTGAAAACTGATCTGGAGACAATGGATCCCTCCAATCCCGCCTGTGCCACCACAAGTGCTCCAGATACAAGTGACGTCAAGCTGGCCACACCTAATCCAGCCACACCACCTGACACCCCCGAAGTCAAACACAACCCTGATGCGGCCCTAAATGAAATCGAGTTTGACACCCCTGCTGTAGATGTAGAAGAACTTCTATGGTCAACATTATCCTTGTTTTCAGTTTAGCAATTTCCCAGTTACATTTTCCTTCAGTCTTTCCACTCCAAACTATAGAATGTTAGTAACAGTGAGATAATCATGATCACGATGGAAGGGAATCACAGTTACGGTCTTTCCAATAATGATATTATATCCAATTAGGATAGTGGTAGTAATTCTGCTGCTGGTGGTGAGGAGAGGAAGGCCATCTTTCTTCCTATGAACTCTTCCCAGTGAAATATTGCAAAGTTGCTACGTTGGAGAGCACCTGTCGGGATGCATACAAAAGATACTGAATTCAAAACCTTTTGAAAACCTCTTTCCATTTGAAATGGCCCCTTTTTGAGGTTGAAACAGTTGTTTCTCATCTGAAATGGGCTGTTTTGACCATTTGTAAATCCACACACACACACACACACACACACACACACACACACATACCTCTAAACAGTTATGTCTGAAGCTCCGATCACTCCCTGAATAATGGAAACCACCCATTTTGAATGTGAAACAGCTACTTTGCATTCAAAGAGGGGTATTTTGAATTCAAAATGGAGAAAAAAGACTTTGTACACCACTATTATGTTCTAATCAGCAGAGCAAAGAGCAGTTTTGGAAGAGGGCATTTTAATTGGATAAAAGAGTGAGTGGTGTGTGTGTGTGTGGGGGGGGGGAGAATTATCCTCTTTTCTTTTTACTGTTTAAGTGGGAGGAAGCCATGCCAGAGATCTCAAAACAGAAGTCTCCGTTCCGCCTTGCTCTTAGAGCTAAACTCGATATGATCTAAGTGTTACGCTTCCCAAACAAGATTTAGTTTTTCAACTGTATGTTGAACCAGAAGTAACATAATGCAGAAGTTACCAGCGCATAATCTCTGCTGAGACCACTGGTCTGCTTATAAACTTTAAAGCAAGGTCCCTCAAAGTGGTTGTTATTGGTCCCTGGGATCAAAAGGGATCAATGTTGTTATTCTTAGTAGTGGTAGTCCTATTAAAGTATTAAATAATTTTCATATGGTAAGCATCTGGAGGTCAATGAACCTTCTGAAACTTTATGAGGTCAATGAGCTGAAGAGTTTGGGCAGCCCCTGAACAAAAGGATGTATCAATTTCACCTTAAATCAGAGCCAACCTTTGTAAAGCATGTCTTAAATTACTGCCGAACATCTTTAAGGAACTGCAAGGAATATAACTCCTTCTATCCTCCGCCATTCGGTCAGAGCTGAAGAAGCTTCTTGGATGAGAAGCGAAACATCTTCAGGGAAAACACAAAGTCCAGTTGCCTTTGGAAAAAGCACTGGGTGACTGAGAAGCTCCCTAGACAGATCTTTAAGAAACATCTCTGGCTTAGAACTTGAACACTCTGGTGACTAGTAAACTGTGAACCCTGATTGTCCCGTTTAGATCTCTGGACAACCTTCACTAAAACCCTGGGCTGCAATAGACCGGGTAATGCCGAGTTACTTTTTGCAATATTTACCTAAACCACGGTTGAGATCATTCCCATGAAATGCTTTGGACAATTGGAACATTACAGAAGTGCTAGCTAGTAGGATATCTGGAAAGGAAATACTGAAGAGGGAACTAGGGATAAGTGCTTTGCCACATGCCATTTATTTTGGGTGCCCACTTTGAGATAAGCTTGCATTTTTTCTCCACGCTTTCCTCCCCCGCACCTTTGCCATTGAACAAAAGCACTTCCATGTGAAGAGAGCACCTTCCAATTCACAAGCTCTGGAATTTCCCCCCCCCCCCTTGTTATGAAAGCCTCAGGACTTGTGGGTCACTTGACTATGTACTGAAGATAAACCTTTCACAAAGGGCGCCCTGTTTGAAGCTGCACCTGCTATTGCAATCTCTGAATGCGATAACACTTGCTAGAAAAATTGTTATTGGAGAGCTGTGAGGTTGGATTTAAGAGGCTGTAAGCTTGCGAGGGAGGCCATAAAGTTCCCACTCTTTACAGAATGTAAAAGAATATTGGTTGCAACTTTAATTGCAACTTTATTCATACACTAGATGAATCATATTTAACTTTATGTCCTCATAAAGCCATAGGAAAATTATATTTCGGTTATTTTTTTATTTTTTTTGGTCACGCTTTGAACTGCAGAGAATTCTACTATTACTGCAAAATGGTTTTGTTATGTTAGAAGAACTAAGGGGGTTTTCTACTTTAAAAAAAATACCACAATGTTTGATCTAGGAATTCTAATTTAATTTTCCTCAAACAAACCAGAGCTGAATGCCATGTTTTATACAGGCCTTTTTTTCCCTTTTTTAAAAAGAAAAATAATTCAGGGATGTCGGGTCATAAGCAGTGGTGGGATTCAAATTTTTTTACTACCGGTTCTGTGACCGTGGCTTGGTGGGCATGGCAGGGGAAAGATACTGTAAAATCTCCATTCCCACCCCACTCCAGAGGAAGGATACTGTAAAATCTCCATTCCCACCCCACTCCAGAGGAAGGATACTGTAAAATCTCCATTCCCACCCCACTCCAGGGGAAGGATACTGTAAAATCTCCATTCCCACCCCACTCCAGAGGAAGGATACTGTAAAATCTCCATTCCCACCCCACTCCAGGGGAAGGATACTGTAAAATCTCCATTCCCTCCCCACCCCACTAACCTGCTTTCCAGCTCTGTTCTCCTGTGCAGGGCAACAAAAGGAGACCCAGCCAATCAGCTGGGACTTGAGAAGCAGAGAATAGATGGGGGCAGGGCCAGTCAGAGGTGGTATTCTGAACTACTTAAAAGTTCCTCTACCAGTTCTCCAAACTACTCAAAATTTCTACTACTGGTTCTCCAGAACTGATCAGAACCTGCTGAATCCCACCTCTGGTCATAAGTTATTACATACTTCACATTACATATAGATAGTCTTTGACTTACAATGGCATTTGGGATCAGAATTTCCATTCTTAAGCAAAGCCGTTGTTCCCTGAGCCACAGCTGATTGTATCGTTATTGGTTTGGCCATGATTGTTAAGTGAACATCTGCAGTTAAGTAAATCCCATAATCGTTAAGCAAATCAGTTGACTCAGTTGTAGTCATAAGTTGAGGGTTACCCGTTTCCCCAAATCTAACAATTTCACTGTTACTGTGGGAAGTCTCTCGTGTGAGCCATGGGAAGGTTGTGTTGGGTTAAAGGAGATGCCCACTGGTGCTGCGCGACTTCCAGAAATGTTCTTTGGTCAACTTATAGGCACAGCCTATAAGTTTATTTATTTTGGGACATCGATGATGACAATGTTCTTATACTAACCAATTATATGATTTATTTTCTTCTTTGTAGACGGTTGAGTGTTTAAAATATATGCTTAGTGTGGAATGCACACACACACAGACAGACACACACACACACAGAGAGATAAATGAATACCAAATGTTTATTACTCCAGTTTAATACATATTATTTAATGAATGAGTTTAAGGACTGATTGGGAACTCTCCGTTTTCCTCCTTCCCATTCCCTGTGCCTAGGTGATCTTTGCTTTGAATCAGACCCTCTTGCAGCAGGAGAAACTCCGAGCAGGCAGTCTACGGATTCCTCACAGTACAGAGGACCTTATCAAGCATTACAACTGTGGAGACCTCAACAACGTCATCTTCAATCACGATACTTCCCAAGTGAGTTGTGTCTCCCCGTTCCCTTATGCTGCTCACAGTACTGCTAGTTAGCTTCTCCCGTGAGCTGTCCATATCCCCAAAGGGACTGAGCCTTTTAAACACAAGTTCCTTTTCACTTTTCAAAGTCAGCATGCTTCTTTGTTAACACTGCAATTGGCAATTGGGCTTCCAGAAATATATTCGTTGTTGGCGTCTGATGGGCTGTTTCTGATTTGCTAGATAAGAATTGAGAGTTTATTATATATTTTATGAATTAAAACATAGTCATAAAATATTATAATATTACAATATTATTGTAATAGAATACATACTTCAATTCAACTTAATTTTAAAAAGATACCACTTTTTTTTTCTTTTTAACAACCCTGTAATCCCTTTGCATTGGGGTGAAGTCGGGGCAACTGAATGGAGCTGAATATTTACTGGCCGGATGCCCTTCTTGATGCCTATGTGGAGTTCACAGCAGATATTTTCTCTTCGTGCCCAGAGAGGGAAATATTTGCGGCTAGCTAGGATTGAAATCACAGCTTCTTGATTGTGAGACAAGAGCTCCACCTCTAAGCCACTGCAACACTTTTTAAAAAGATATAATAAATTAGGGGAAAAGTGGATTTGTCTCACTATAGTACTTGACCAAATTGGAGCCAGTCTGTTTTGCCATGTCTACACAATGGCTGTGATGACCCCGGAGCGTAACACAAACGTAACAAAATCCAAAACGTAAATAAATGTCCTTTAATGCCTCCAACTTGGCCCCACTGTTCAATAATTCTCAGTTGGAGATAAAACATACTCAAAAATAGTCTTCAAAAGAAGCAATATAGTCCGAACTTAATGAGCAGATAGAGGTGAAATACAAAACCCAAACAAACTACAATGATGAAATTTCCACAATAGACCAGGATAAGTAATTACCAAGTTCAAGGAAATAACAAGGCACAGTTTGTTGGAAGGACGCCAACCAAGATAACTTCAGCCCAAAATAAAACATGCTTTGCTTCTGGCAACGGTGTGTTGTAATCGTTTCTCTTATATACTAGTTTCCCCAACTGCAACCAATGAGGATCATGGCCGCTTCCTCTCTCCTAAGCCAAGTTGTTTCCTTCTCCGTTCTTCCCTGCGTATTCTAGGATGCAGAGGGGATGGGCCTGGTTCTTCCTCTGACTGCCCAACCGGCCTCTGCCCTTCCCCAGCCTCCTCCACATCCTCCAGAGCCACACCTACCACGGGCATGACAATGGCTTCCTGAGCTATGTAGCTTTTACATGAGCATAGTGAGATGTCCTACATTTGCCATTTTTCTAAGCACATTAACTTGACATGGATGACATAATCAAAGGCCTTCTATAAACCATGAACCACATGTTAACTTCCTTTTAGTGTTTATAACCACTGACATGTAGCTATTACAGGTAGTTCTCACTGAATGATTGGTTAGCGATTGTTCAAAATTACAGTGGTGCTACAAAAGTCACCTTATGACTTGTCTTTGCCCTTACGACTGTTACAGCATCCTCGCAGTCATGCCAAGATTCGGGCACTTTTGCAATTGGCAGGCATTCATGACTGTTGCAGCATTCTGTGGTCACATAATCACCATTTGCACATTTTACAGCTGGCTTTCGACAAGCATAGTCAGTGGAGAAGCCAGCAGCGAAGTTGCTGGTTGTGGTCATGTGACATCTTGTTTAGTGATGGAATTGTATTTGCAAAAATATACTCTATACTCTAGCTGAATACTTTTCATTATTCCAGATAAGACTGAGGACAGGAGGTCAATATGAGACTTTAAAAGAGTGAATGGTATACCACAAATGTAGGATGGAACTGCCATAGAAGAAATGTACTGCTATACCTAGATTTTGGGAGACTACCCTTCACATACCCATCTACTATCTTACAAAAAAAACCCCACTATATATTGAATACTAGGGGAGCCATGTTAATGAACAGTTGTTTACTTTTCTCTGGAACTCAGAGTATTCACCAAGCTGTCAAAACTGTAAGTAGCAGCCTGGAACAGTTAATCCCAAACACCAGCCTCTCAGAGCTTTGATTAATAAGATTTATTAAGAAGAAGCTTATAGTAGCAAGAATGCCCTGCAAGTAGTCTGTTTTCAAATGAGAGACCTCTGTATAGCAAAATAAGATGAGAAGTCCCTGGTTGTTCTTCTGTGCTTTTCAGGAGGTGGTAGAGGAAATTTGCATCTGCTATTCTAAGTATTATATTTATACTCTTAGAACCAATTTTCATACAACTGTTGCTGTGATTTTAGTGGCGCATCTCTTAAATATGGAGTCCCATAACTGTGTGTGATCTGAAGGCAGAGGAATACGAGGTGAACATCCTGCCTCTGAAGCAATTTGTTTTTCAGGGAATATGGAAAAGAGCCACTTCTTATATTTGCAACATCTAGTATAGGAAAAGGTTTTTTCCTCCAATCCAGGAAACCGGCTATCCAAGAGGCAAGGAGCTAATCACTGACCAGTCGTGTGCTTGAAATGTTTGGGCATCACGACCCTAAGATTTGTGAGTTTTACACACATGGCTCTCTGAGTAATCTCATTTACTGCCTGCCCCTTAAAGGTGTGCAGTGCTGCTAGCTCTCTCCAACCATAAGGGAAAATCATGCAGCTTTTCCATCAGTGGCGTATTTCAGTAGTCTCCTGTTAACCCATGGTTATGCGTGTGCATGTATTACATTGTTTAAAACACAAACCACCAGATTGCTAGTCTCAACTGAAACCCACCTGACCTATTTCTCATCAAAGCTCACAAAGCATCGAGTTAGATAGTGTTCTGGTTGAATGGGAAAGCTGGACCCAGAAGAATAAAGTCTAAACTTCAGAATATGTGCCCCTTTGGCAATGGATCTTCATGACATTTATGGATAACTCGGGGTGAGATGGTTCTAGTCAAAAGGACATAAGTTATGCCAATTGCCAGATGATTGGCAATCTTCTTTTCTCTGATCTTGAGAGTTATATGTATTATCCCACTTGAAGAGAGCAGAGCTGATCCTGACAGCTCAAAACTGATGCAGAAAAAACTCTAGATCACTTTCATGTTTACACATAAAGGATCCTCCTATACTTCTCAAACCCAAAATACCAAGGGATATTTAATCATCCATCCCATAGTGATTACAGCTGCAATATATGCATGGGGTGTCTATGGAGATTCTCAGTCATCCAGCCCAAAGGTGCTTTTCCAAAAGGCAACTGGACTTTCTTGGATGTTTTTTCCCCCCTTGAAGACGTTTCACTTCTCACCCAAGAAGCTTCTTTACTTCTGTTGAATGGTACGGAACAGAAGGATTTATATTTAGATGATTGCTAAGGAATATAAACCCTTCTGTTTCCCACCATTCAGCCAGTATTGAAGAAGCTTCTTGGATGATAACCAAAACATCTTCAAAGAAAAAAAACCAAGAAAGTCCAGTTGCCTTTAGAATAGCACCTTTGGGGCAGATATGCATGGGGCTTCATTGGTGGGGCTTCAGTGCTGTTTAGACCATAATCCCGTACAGTAATTACCACAATGCAAATATATGAACAGGCATGGGGAGCTTTCTGCAGATAGAGCAGGACTAAAGTTTGTCTCCTCTCCTGTCCCACACATTTTGTCCCTCCAATTGAACAGTAGTGAATGAGAATTCTATTTTCTTTCAGCAAAATGCTTTGCTGAACAAAACGCTGGAATGAAAAAAGTGCTTTTTAATGGCAGCTGTTCCTTGATGCATCTCTCTTTATGAGTCTCAAAGGTCTTTTTTTTAAATACGATATTTGTATTTTAAAAAAGAGATAAAAACTAATGCAAATTACAAAAAACAAAACATTAAAAAGAGAAATATTGCAGACAAAAGAATAACATGGAAAAATATAAAAAAGTAAGACTATAACAAAGAAAAAGAAGTCTCTTGATGTTTTTGCAAGGAGTCACAGTCTATTGCACAAGGAGAGCAGCAAGTTTTATCACTTTAGCCAGGAAGACTCCCCTTGGGGATAATTGGGGGTGGGCGCTTGATTTCTTCTTTTGCCAAGCAGTAAAAGCATCACAAATTGAATATTTTAACTGCTGCTGAGTTTTGCTTTCGCAAGCCAATTTTTCAGTGGCAGTCTATTACTACCAATCTTGGGTTTTTATTATGGTTCCTAGCTATGTGGATCTGTGTGGCAAGATGTTCTCTTCTACTGTAAGAAAGGGGAATATTAGTGTAAAGATTCTTCTTCTTTTTTTTACAATGCTGAGTATTCCCTCCCTACTTCCTTCCCTTAAGTGTTCTCTTTGGTGGAAGTGCTGTTTCTTCCTTCCTATTTCTGTTTTTATTATTGGTGGTCATACTTATTCTTAGCAGCGTTATCAAATATTGTGATCTCAAAGTGATGTATTTTGATCTCAAATAGATTACTCTGAGCTCACCAGAAATGCCCCAGGACCGTTCCAACCAGTCCCAAGGTATTTGAAATAAGGTGCTTTTTTGATACTGTCTGGAATGTTTCCAGAACGGTCCTTGGGACTTCTGCAAGGTTAGAACAATCTCTTTTAAACAGAAGCAACAGTTTTGAGTTCAAAAAAGGATGTTTCAAGCGCAAAACAATTCAAAAGAATCACTTATCCTGTAATTTGCAATGGGATGAAGAAATTTGATCTTGCTGCTTGAGTAAATCAGAGGAGTAACCCGCTGTAGGAACCTTCACAATAGGTCTAGTGTTCTCTTTACAGGTGAAAACTATTTATTAGTAGATCAATATCCAGCGTAATTTATCTAGGGCTGTCTTTGAAAATAGGATAGCTAAACTGATATGAAAGATTTCTCTAGGAGGTTAATGTGAGCAGCATTATCTGTTCTGAACTTTGTACTTGTGCCCTTCCAAACTGGTTCTGACTACTTTTGTGAGCATTTGAATGAGCATGAAAGTAATTTTACTCCAAATGCCATTTTTAAAGAAATGATATTGTTTGCCCAAATATCATAGCCTCCATTATTCTTCTGGTT